AAAATATGTGAGATTTGCTATGGTGAAATATATTCTCGAAGAAAGATTTTTAAAATTTCCTATTAGATAATTATGGTAAAACCTTTCGACAAACCTGTGCCAGATAACGGTGATAAAAATTAACTTGTTTATTCAAGTAAATCAAGATAACAAAACTCTAAAGATGTGGGCCTTGGTAGATTTTTGCTTCCTTAAAGAGAGAATTCTTCACTCATGGTACGTGAACTTGGTCTCAAACAAACCCGACATGTTTGCAAGGCTGATTTGGAATGTCTGCGTCCCCCTTTTATGGTACTTCGGCCTTTGGTAGATCAGAAGATAAGGAAATGGGAAATTATCTTATAAAAAACGCTAGCATTGTACTGTATACAGGAAATACCATCTTACATGAACACAGTTTCATCCAAACTGATCTAGGAGTACTCAGACTTTCTAGCTGTTTAAATTTGTTGTAGAGGTGTAGGACTGAATCAACTTTGTCACAGAGGTGTATGTAGAACTGCATGACGATTGAATCAAATTTTTTTAGCCAGGCTTTTTAGTTATAATTATGACGGAGATAATTTTGAAACAAAACTTGTGCATTTCCATTTTGCTATTAAATAAAGGGACAAACAGTAATCTAAAGTTTTTTAATTAATATTTTCTTAAGACAATCAATGGATATCGCGAAAAAAGATTAAAATTTTCATGTCCAAATTAAGAATTACATTATTAGCAAATCCTCTTTTTTCCACATGGTTCTGTTAACCATCACTATCTTTCTAAATTATCAAACTTAAATACATAGTGTTTTGTGCTTTCATTGGAGTTATAATTTCCTTTTAGAACAATTCTGCATTTATAAAAAGCTTCTTCACTTCAATATATAGTTTCTTAAGGAATGATGTTCGAGTGCATTACAGCAAAGAACAGACCTGGAATCTCTGATACATCTGAATGATATATTATTGACCCCTCAATGTCTGTGTCAATTATGTGTTGTTTACCCCTGCTTACAGCATCTTCAAAACAGTATCTTTAGCCAGACACGATCAGACAGACTATCATTTTGGCATTTGCATTCCCTGAAAAAATGTTTCTCAACTGAATGAACTTATAACATTCCAAAGAACTGACGCTGAAACAAGACGTCCATTGATGATACAGGACACCTACACACTCTGACTAGTTATCGAGGTATGATGTGAGAATAGTTTCACCCACATATCATGTTGTATTACTCTTATAACTGGCTCTTAAAATAGCTAACAAATTAAACTTCGTTAGATTCCTGTACAGAACTTGTGTCCTCAGATAAAACTTGGCCAAAAAAAAAAAAATAAACCCACTAAACATTGCTAACATGATATGTAATACTAAGAAACAATTAATGCCATTATGATATCTTTCATATAGATATTTTTTTTTAAGATATTCAGTTAATTTGTCATTTATAAAATTAATATAAAAAATGATGACGGAAAACCACAGACTTTATAGAAATTAACCTTAAAGTTTTGAAATCCTGTCTGTATAGTACTTTTACAAGAAGTCTAATTCAACCTCAAGCACGTGTTGAGTATAGTCTAGCCGAGATAGGCATTTGTGATATCTTGGATAACCGACTTCTCTGCTCCCTGTTACTAACGTGCTTAAAACATGACCAGCATTATAAACATGCAGGCAAGACAATGAACTTCACTTAACTTGAAAATTTAAAGAAAAGTTTTGTTTATTGAAAGATTCAAATATTGAAAACTTTTACAAAAATACCTTGCATACAATTATGAAAGGAATATAGATGAACTTACAGGTTTAGTAAGGAATGATATCAAATCAACAAACATTTATAAAATTGTTCAATACTATGAGTCGTTTCAGTGTGTAGATGTCAAATTTGTCATGTTGGTATTTCTTCAGGTACAGTGCAATCAGAATAACTTGTCACGTTTAATTTTACCTGCAATATTTATTTCTGATGTTTACATTCATTCAGAATTATGATCACTAACTCGTTGTTAATTGCTCTGGGCCGTTAGTCTACCTATGTGCTCAGCATTTGCATGCAGAAATAGATATATTAAGTTTAATTTGGTGTGTATGGTGAGGTAGACAAGTGGACTCAGAAATAGACATATTCTGTATAATTCAGTGTGTATGGTTAGGTAGACATGTAAACTCAGTAATAGACATATTCTGTATAACACTGTGTGTAGTGAGGTAGACAAGTGAACTCAGAAATAGACATATTCTGTATAACATTGTGTGTAGTGAGGTAGACAAGTGAACTCAGAAATAGACATATTCTGTATAATTCAGTGTGTATGGTGAGGTAGACAAGTGAACTCAGAAATAGGCATATTCTGTATAACACTGTGTGTAGTGAGGTAGACAAGTGAACTCAGAAATAGACATATTCTGTATAACACTGTGTATGGTGAGGTAGACAAGTGAACTCAGAAATAGACATATTCTGTATAATTCAGTGTGTATGGTGAGGTAGGCAAGTGAACTCAGAAATAGACATATTCTGTATAACACTGTGTGTATGGTTAGGTAGACATGTGAACTCAGAAATAGACATATTCTGTATAACACTGTGTGTAGTGAGGTAGAGAAGTGAACACAGAAATGGACATATTATGTTAACACTGTGTGTAGTGAGGTAGACAAGTGAACTCAGAAATAGACATATTCTGTATAACACTGTGTGTAGTGAGGTAGACAAGTGAACTCAGAAATAGACATATTCTGTATAACACTGTGTTTGGTTAGGTAGACATGTGAACTCAGAAATAGACATATTCTCTATAACAGTGTGTGTAGTGAGGTAGACAAGTGAACTCAGAAATAGACATATTCTGTGTAACACTGTGTGTAGTGAGGTTGACATGTGAACTCAGAAATAGACATATTCTGTTAACACTGTGTATGGCGAGGTAGACAAGTGAACTCAGAAATAGACATATTATGTTAACATTGTGTGTAGTGAGGTAGACAAGTGGACTCAGAAATAGACATATTCTGTATAACACTGTGTGTTAGGTTAGGTAGACATGTGAACTCAGAAATAGACATATTCTGTATAACACTGTGTGTAGTGAGGTAGACAAGTGAACTCAGAAATAGACATATTCTGTGTAACACTGTGTGTAGTGAGGTAGACAAGTGAACTCAGAAATAGACATATTCTGTGTAATACATAGTGTGTAGTGAGGTAGACATGTGAACTCAGAAATAGACATATTCTGTATAACACTGTGTGTAGTGAGGTAGACAAGTGAACTCAGAAATAGACACATTCTGTATAATACAGAGTGTTTGGTGAGGTAGACAAGTGAACTCAGAAATAGACATATTCTGTGTAACACTGTGTATGGTGAGGTAGACAAGTGAACTCAGAAATAGATATATTCTGTTAACACTGTGTGTAGTGAGGTAGACAAGTGAACTCAGAAATAGACATATTCTGTATAATACAGTTTGTATGGTGAGGTAGACAAGTGAACTCAGAAATAGACATATTCTGTATAACACTGTGTGTAGTGAGGTAGACATGTGAACTCAGAAATAGACATATTCTGTTAACACTGTGTGTAGTGAGGTAGACAAGTGAACTCAGAAATAGACATATTCTGTATAATACAGTTCGTATGGTGAGGTAGACATGTGAACTCAGAAATAGACATATTCTGTTAACACTGTGTGTAGTGAGGTAGACAAGTGAACTCAGAAATAGACATATTCTGTATAACACTGTGTGTAGTGAGGTAGACAAGTGAACTCAGAAATAGACACATTCTGTATAATACAGAGTGTTTGGTGAGGTAGACAAGTGAACTCAGAAATAGACATATTCTGTGTAACACTGTGTATGGTGAGGTAGACAAGTGAACTCAGAAATAGATATATTCTGTTAACACTGTGTGTAGTGAGGTAGACAAGTGGACTCAGAAATAGACATATTCTGTATAATTCAGTGTGTATGGTGAGGTAGACAAGTGAACTCAGAAATAGGCATATTCTGTATAACACTGTGTGTAGTGAGGTAGACAAGTGGACTCAGAAATAGACATATTCTGTATAACACTGTGTATGGTGAGGTAGACAAGTGAACTCAGAAATAGACATATTCTGTATAATTCAGTGTGTATGGTGAGGTAGGCAAGTGAACTCAGAAATAGACATATTCTGTATAACACTGTGTGTATGGTTAGGTAGACATGTGAACTCAGAAATAGACATATTCTGTATAACACTGTGTATGGTGAGGTAGAGAAGTGAACTCAGAAATAGACACATTCTGTATAACACTGTGTATGGTGAGGTAGAGAAGTGAACTCAGAAATAGACACATTCTGTATAATACTGTGTGTGTATTCTATGTATTTTAGTGTATATTCAGATAGAGAGAAGACTTGATAACTTCTGAAATTCAAACCTACAAAGTTTGTATTGACGGGAACATTCCTCTGTAAACTATGGATAACTCATCACCATAAAGTCTTTGTAAAGCTGCAGTCTTCTGGTCTACAGCTTTAATAGGGTGTTGATGAATTATTCATTATAGCTTTAGCATTGTGTGATACTGGGCAAGTTAAAGAATAGAGAGACATGGTGACGTGGTCAGAGTCACATCTGGATGAATGGCCTTTAGATTATCAACATTAATTGAGATTATTAATATCTTTTAACCTAATTTTTTTCATCTTCAAATTTCAGTTTCCAATTTTATTGGGAAACTAAAGTTCCTCTTGTCGGACACTGTTATCGTTGCCAGACTAAATAATGAAAGAAAAAATGAGCTATTTTGCCCTAGGTTGAAGACTGTGATTGTTTGCCACCCAACGGTATCATGTGTCGCTCTACAAGCAGAGACATGTAAATTCTTCTTTGTAATCAAAATGACACCTAATTTAAGTTAAATTTTATTTATGAAAGATTGACCATTCTGTAATACAATTGCACTGAAATAAAGAAGTTTGAACAAAGTTGACCGTTGGTCAGATTTGACTTACCTCGAAATGTGGCATCGACACTTGAAAGGCCACAGTTGTGTATTTTGGAGACACTTTGCACTTGTACATCCTTAAGAATGGGGTTGCTGTTATCACTTGGACTGACCTTAGTGGTCAGTATATTATTCATCTCCAACACATCCAGGACAACACTGGACACCTTCTTCTCAAGGTCCCTGTAGCTTGACCGCTGAGTATGTAAACTTCTCTCTAAGTGATTTATTATGTGAAAGAGATTAGAAAAATTTGACCGATATTGTTCAAGCATGTAATCTGCTTTCTTAAGTGTCAACTCTTGTTTTGAGATACTCTCGGTTAAATTATTGTTTTTCATCATTTCTCCGTCCAATTGCTTCTCCACTTCTTGAAGTCGACTTATAAGGGTACTCATATCCCCAGACATAAGCTGCTGATCATCTGATTGGATTGGCGGTTGAATGGACGTTGGGCAGTGACCAGCGTCCACTTCTTTGACCACGAAAGTGTATTTACATCTCTGAGTACGAATAATTTTTCGTCCAAGTTTGTTTTTTTTAAATTCGCAGATTTCAAACACTGCTGTAAGAGTCAATACCAGAATCCAAATTTTCTGCATTTTGATTAATTAGGTATTGTTATCACAGTAATGATAATCGATGAAAAATAGGTGGGTTTTTTTTCCCTCTCTCAAATATTTTCAAAATTCCACTTGTTTTTTAGCAGACTAACTTACCTGATAATCATATATGTTCTAGTCTAATTTGCTAAAACAGTTGACGTCAGCTGGTGTTTGATCTAACAGACATTGTATTTGTTAGCTACAACTTGACAACATCCAGTGTATGAAAAAACAACAATAAAAGAAAAATTGAAAAGTTTGATGGGAGAAGATTTCGGACTGTTATAGTATCAGTGCATCCAATATAAATCCTCTTTCCAAAACAAATGCTTCAGTAATGTTATGATCAATATAGCTGTGTTATCTCTCCAGTGTAAGTCACTTCCGTGGAGAAGACAAACTCCTGAAAGAGGCAGCGTTAAACTGCTACTCCACACAGAAACTGTTACCACTTCACAATTTTCACCAATCAGCAGAATTTTATGTTTTGTGTATAAACATAAATCAATTTTTTTTTCTCCAAAGATATTGAGATTTCAAGTGATATGATTGGTTGACAATGCAGTGGTGTTTTTTTTTATACAAGTGTTCTGAATCTATTAACAAGCATGCACCTGATAGTTTCATTCATAAACGTTCAGGTGAGAATAAGATCCCTGTCAAGCCCTTACCTGGATACACGAGGACTCTGATACGACTGACAAGCAGCTTTATCAGCCAGCCGTGTAATATTAATATCACTCTTTCCTGGCAGGATCTGCTGACACACACTAGATATGTAACGTCCAGATCATATATCTTTAAACTTTCTTAAAGCAGTTTAAGTTGGAACAGTACACCTGCCAATTTATAACTTTTTTTTAATTCCTCGCATTTGAATTTCGCAGGTACAGCGTAGCTGTACTGGTTACTGTTTCCAATTGGAAGCCTGGCACACAATAAAAATCCTCCGTGTATAATTATAGGTGTTATGTCTAAGCTGAAGAATCTTCAGATCAGTCGCCAGTGATCTTGATTGCTGATGATATTATGATATAATCGGTCTGGAGTGTTCTGTGTAACAGTACTATCCTCAGACAGATAGATTATAAGCATGAGTAATCTGTCAACGGTTCGGTTGGTATATCCCAAAATAAGGGTCAGGTCCAGCCCTCTTCTGACATTTCCTCTCCCCTGGCTTTCTATTGGTGTATCCTCCTACGCTGGGTACCTAGGGGTGCCCCCTTCTGTACAGGCCTGCCTCTCAACTATCCCACTCTACCTCGGGTTCCAAACCAAGCAGTGAGCTCACACACACTGATAGCCTGCCAGTCATGGGCTCCTATTTATACCATGTGCTGTAAGGAGGGTGTAGAATAATGTCCCAATAGTGGTGAAGGCCAGTAGGGGACACTGGTAAGGTGTGGGGATGCTGACAGGGACTATTGCAGATGGGGACTGGTGCAGTGGTAAGGGGGTAGGGGGTATGGGTAATGACATCTATAAGACTGGTGATTTGCTACAGGTTGTGTGTTTGTGGTGTTGATAGGGGACAGGTGAGGTGTGGTCGGTATGGGTGGAGACAGAGTTATTGATAGGGGTTTGTGATAGGGCTAAGGGGTAGGGTATGAAGGTGTTGACAGGTAACACTGGGGTGTTCTCAGTATGGGTTGGGATAGGGGTGCTGACAGGGGTTATTTGGGGTGGGGACAAGTGGTTGAGCTAAGGGGCTGGGTGTGGGGGTGTTGGCAAGGAAGTTTGGGTAGTTACTGCTTAGAATATAGCAAACTTAGTGAAGGAAAATTTTAAGGATAATTCAAAACCTGTGATTTTTCCTTTTGCTAGACATTGTCTCTCATAGACCAACATCAGTGTCCTGATGATGTCAGGGTAGCTGAAGGAACGATAGCCTTAATAGGCGATTCAAGGAAGGATGGTTTTAAGGGTATAATTTTATAGATAGGCTGCTAAATTAGAGTTTGGGGTAGAAGAACTCCCGAAATACTAATGGCAATATTAAGTCCAGCAAATCCAATAGGTGCTTGTGTACTGATCTCAATTTCAGTATACAGCAATGGAATTGATCCATTCATGAACATGGATACATTTAACATATACTACACTGCTGCAGTGATGGTCCATTCACAACTCACTCACTTCTCTTCTGTGATTCAAAGCTTGATATCTTAGTAATAATTTCATAAACATGATATATATAATTTTTCTAGGTAAAGACATGTCTGTTGTGATAAATGACTTGAACTAATTCTTTTGAAATGACTGATGTCATTAGGAAGGCTATTTACTAACAGAAGGGAGATAACTCAGTGAAACCTCACAGATAAGGAACAGATATTGTATCTCAAGACTATCAGTCTTATCATCATAAATTTAAAGTATGTAGATTAATGATGGACTAGTTTTGTTAATAGAAGGATTTATTAAAAGGTTCTTCTTTATCATATTCATGACGATAAGGTCAACATGATCATTTCATACCAAACTGACTGTCGTCCTGTTGGTTGGTAAATGATGTCCTACACCTTATATAGTGTTTTGTTAAAAGAAGTTAAGTTTTATTGGTAAGTCAGAGTCCGTAGATTGAGTGTTTATACCTCAAGGGAGGAATTAAATCACACCAACGCAAGCTTACTACTGGAAATAAGTCTACTTTGCAATCATTGAAAGCTGTGCCTGACCTTTCCTACACTCCCCCTCCTTCCCTCCCTCCCCCATCCCATACCCAACCTCTCCCTTTTACTCCAGGTCCCACTCATTGAGCTGTAAACATTATGTGCTATTTGTCAATAACGACCTACAACAGTGAGCTAAGGTGCTGTAAACACCAGTACACTACAGAGAAAGTTGTATAAATAAAAATTCTATTAAAACCATAAAATTTTATACCACTAGCATATTTATCAATTTTCACTGGCTGAGATACGGTGGCTGATCACTTCTGACATCACTGATAGGCTTACATCTAGATTTTTGAAGACCCCAGCGGGTCATAACATCAAGGTCGCCTCGATGCTCTGACCTTCTACATATATATTATATTATATATGACCTGGTAGGCAACACATTATCAGGTAGGCTTGCTATTAATGTTTACACAGTCATTGGATGTTTTGCTTAAAAGGAACAAGCTTAATAATAAAATGGGTAAAGTTATCAAGAGATATGCTGAACAGCAATTTTCATAGTAAATCGGCATTTGCCAAATGTAGTGTATTTAGCTTATTGGGCCTGACGGGCCAAGTAAGCTATATTTATACCGCGACGTCCATCGTTCGTCATCCAAATTTTTCTACAGAACACAACTAGTCATGAACCATGAAGGGGATTTTGACCAAATTTGGTCAGAAGCATCCTGAGGGGAAGAGGGAACATATAGATGGTGTGTTCTGCAGGGCCAGAGGGGCAGAGTAAAGAGGGAAGATTTGCAAGTATTAAAATTTCTACTCTTCCTGTAGAAATGATAAGATTTTACACAAATTTGGTCTGAATCATCTCTAGGTGAAGGAAAATCATTTTTATTATAAACGATGGGTCTCAGCCCCCTGGGGTAGGAGGGTTAGGACCCATAAGGGAAAATAGCGTAAATTCATTAAAATCCTACACCATATGTAGGAATGATAAGATTTTGCCTAGACGTAGTCTGAAGCATGTTTGGATGAAGGGGAATCAATTTTTTATAAATTGTGTGTTTTGCCTTGACATATCCAATTAATGTACCTGAGATGATGTACCCATCATCATATACCAGTCATAATGTGTTATAATGATCACGCTGCTTTCCCCCATATTGACACAACAATGATGTATACAGTATCATCCGGATGTAGGTATTAAGTTCATATTCTTCTTTGAAAACTAATCTACTCGACTGATGAACTGTATGAAATCGAAAACTTCAAGTAAGTTTACAACACCCATGGACCTGATTGGATTCCTGTCTTCTCTTTCTGTACTGCTGCTATATGTTGTTCAACATAGATTATGACTATATATTATTTGTACAATATACTTAGTATTAGATATTATTGAAGTATAAAGCCCTGTATGGTTATATGTATATTTTGTGGTAGATTTAGGACATACGAGATCTCAGATGTATTTGTAGAAATTTCCGATCCCTGTTTTGTCAGCTGTTGGGTTAATATATACAATGTAAGGAAGATCCTTGATTCATGTTTAATGCTTCTGTTGATCGACAAAAGTTTATGTATTTTTTTGTTTGGCGTGCAGATAAATATTTTGAGTTGCATTATACTGTACATATATCTGTAAGCTTAAGCTAGGCAGGGGGTTGAGATCCCAGACTTGAAACATAAGCCTACTGTGAATACTACATAGTCCCATGTCACATTAAACAATTTCATTATCATAAATAGGAAATTTTGTAAGCTTGGAAACAACACTTTGCCCACTATAATGATATTTTTTTTAAAAAGTTACTTTTGCGACATTCTGTTCCCAGTTCCAGGGGTTTGTACATTTTTCCGATCAACAAACCAAAGAATGGAAAATATTGAACGGATAATAAAGAAGTAGTCTATAGAATTTAGCACTATTTCATCATATATATTGTGGAACTGATTTGTAACATCTGCCATGCTATTCCTTTCATTCAACACGTCTGCAAACGCTAGCTGGTCTGTTTAGTTTATGAGTTAAAGGATTAAGTTTTGAATTTTTTTCTTTTTTTTTAGTTAAAAATAAAAATCTTTCAGAAAGTAACATACAGTCTTGTGAGCAAGATTGATATCCATAGATACAACTTATCTTTTTTAATCTTATTTCCATTTGCTCAAAGTTTAGTTAAATCTAATCTGAAGCCAGTGAAAATTTTTTAAAAATGAATTCATCAGAAAATTTTTAACATTCTTTTTTATTTAACAGCTGTAGATTTGTGAAGACTGGCCAGGTTGATATTTTTGAACATCAGTTTTGCTTTGAAAGTCCTCTATTTTAAGTGGCAACAACTAATTTTGATAACTGCAATTACTGGTCAACTCTAACTTAGATTGAACAACTGGGAACTGGTCTCCCCAAATCAACAAATATACTTGTTAGAGTAAAAACACATTTCTCACAATGTTATTGTGAAAATTAATCAAAGTCATGTCATTCAAGCATGCTACATCCCCAAAACCAGTACCAGGAATCTTTCAATTATTGAGTAGAAGTTGGTTTGAGTTTTAAACACATTGACCCCTGTGACCTTGAATGTGGGGTCTAAGTCATTTATTATCTGAACTTGGATGTCCATTGTCCATGAATAGCACAAAACCAATATCTGATAACTGGTCCTTGAGTCTTTTTTGTTGATTATTGAAAAGGTCATTTGGTGATTTTAAACCAATTGACCCCTGTGACATTGGAAGTGGGTTAAGGTCATTCATTTCAGCAAATTTGACCCCTGTGACCTTGAATCTGGGGTCAAAGTAATTTATTATCCAAACTTGGATGTCCATTTTCCCTGAATAGCACAAACCCAATATCTGATAACTGGCCCTTGAGTCTTTTGATTATTGAAAAGGTCAGTTGGTGATTTTAAACCAACTGACCCCTGTGACCTTGTAAGTTGGTCAAGGTCATTCATTTCAGCTAATTTGGTAGAGTTTCATCCCAGCATACCAAAGTTTCCAAGTTAGTATCCTGGATCATCTGGTGTTTGACAATAATTCCTTTAGAAAATTTTAACATATTTTACTCCTGTGACTTTGAAAGTAGGTCAAGGTCAGTCATTCAAACAAACTTGTTAGCCCTTCATTCTAGCATGCTATAGGTACAGTATCGATATCCTCTCCTTTTTTTGATGTTGAGAACAGGTTGTTTAAATAGAAAAGTTGACACTGACCGGCCGTATAATGGAAACAGTGCTACAACATTTTGTGGCCTCGGGGCAGATGAGCTAAAAAGTATTTGTGTGCTTATATCTGTACTTATTGTGCCTGTCACTTGCCCCCAAAACATTTGTACCCATTATGTATCTGCTTGTGGCATTACCCACCTGACAGGAACACCTATTGTGGTAGTGATGTTTACCTAAACACAGAGATGTATCTGTATATTCACACCTGTGGGTTGCACTTAAGGTCAGTCTGCTTGCGAGGTCAACACTTCTAGCATTTCTCCTTGTAGTTTAAATTACATATTACAGAATAGAGAGAAAACATCCATTCATCACTCTATTTTTGTAATCTTTGTTCTTGTTGGTTCGAATTTCCTGAGGTATGGATGTGTATTTTACGGTTTATAACTTTGAATTGTTCTAAGAAGGATAGGATTTAGCCTTCCGTGGTCATTTTTCACATTTTCAGTTGTATATTTGATACCTTTTAGAAAAAACTTTTTCAAAACAATGATGATGGATGCTCAAACCAAGAATTTTTTGTTACATGAGTCCATATGTACAATTAGACACAATTACCTTTGGAAGTGC